TTTAAGTATTTAAACATTCATAAGGCATTCATTCAACAAATATTGAGAGCCTGCTTCAGATTAGGAATTATGCACCACTTGACTAATTTGACTTGTTTTATCTTAATGGAACTCATGATCTAGTGTCATATAGTGTGACTTGTTTTATCTGAATTTGGTTTTGAATCCTGTAACCTTTTTGATCCACTGATTACAGACAAATACCCAAGCATTTAGAGTGAGTAATGTTTTTGTTGGGTATGCTATTTTTGTTATTTTCTATTTGTGCTATATTATTACAAATATAAATATGAATACCATAGTATCATATATAATTAAGAACAATTTTTAAACCACAGAAAGAAGATAGTTAAAATATGGTTCCTGCCCTTAAAGAGCCCACGGTACAGTGGGCGAGACAGACTTATAACTAAGTGTAAGAACGTGCAATGACACACTGCTATCATATTACTTGTAAATAGATCTGGTTCCTACAATATCCTCCCAATTAAAAGAGGAGGGAATGATCAAGTCTATATGTCAAAGAGTTCTCATAGAGGAGATGATTCTTACACTAGCTTCTCCAGGCTAATAAAGAGGAAAGCAGTCCTGATGAGTAAAGGCCCAAAGGTGTAAAATAGCACAGTGCCACTCAAGAACATATGCTTAGATCTGTATAGCTTAAACGTAAGGTAAGGCACAACAGGGTAGGAGATATTTGGAGATAGCGGGGGAGAAGATTAGGGAAGGCTTTGAGTACAACACTAAAGAATTTGTGCTTTATCTGAAGGCCAGTGAAAAATTTTATACAGGGTGGCGAAGGGGTATGGAAGAGGCCAGGAAGCTGAGCAGGCTCAGAGGAGCCAGACGCCGTGAGAACACAGGGGCTGAGGGAGGCAGGGGCCTGGGTGAGGCTGGGCTTCCTTGCTCCCAGCCAAAGTCCGGCTCTTGGAGTACTGTGTGCCCTGTCCCCTGGTAGGGAAGGGGGAGGGCGGTGGGAGGAGGGGGGAAGAGGGAGGAGGGGAGGGGTATTTGTATACACAAGGAGGGCAATGCGCACTACCCGAAGGATGGACATATTTGAAACACGGACTTCGGTGGGGGGGGGGAACCAAGGGCAACACACGTAACCTAAACATATGTACACCCATAATTTGCTGAAATAAAAAAAAAAAAATTTTATACAGGGGAGTTACATAGTCATGGCATTCTAAAATTAAGGAAGAGAATATTCTGGAAGAGGGATAAAAATCAAGTCCGGGAAACAAATGATCAATGTAAATTTCAGTAATAAAAATGCTGAGTGTTTTACCATTTTCTTGGGAGTCATCTGCATTTGCGTTGGTAAGGAAGGTGAGTCCAGCTAGGTGGAACACATCTGCATTGTTGCGGCCACCACCTGCCCCACATCCCAAATCACTCTTCTCTAAAACTTGAAATACCTGTCCAGAAAGGCAAAATGTTGAGCCTATTCAGATGTATAAATCATTCTTTTAAAGAACTAAAGGTACTAGTTGTTACAGGTTATAACAAACCAGTGAAACACACAAGTGACTCGTTTAACAAATGACCAAAGACTAAATTTCCCCATTTTGTTTCTAAGTTTGTCCTTTTGTATTTATTAACATAAACACATATCTATTCAAAATTAAATCAAGAACTAAGTCTTAAGCAAATAGCTTTGATGAGGAGTTTCTTAGAAACTGACTCATGGTATTTTGTATATAGAATGCATGCTACAATCAATATAATGTCCTAAATAAATAAGTAGGTGGATGCATGAAGGAGTGAATTAACAAAGAAATTATTTTTTAAGTTGCTAAAAAAAGAGCATAACCTCTTGTGTTTTGAGAGGGAAGGCTCTAGGTTCTAAGTAGGTGGGAACTTGTTTGGGGGAATAATTCCAGTTTTAATTTTGACCCCAAATATCCTTTTCTCTCCGAGCATTTTTAACTTTACAGTTTCTCAGTTCTTTCTTCCTTGTTCAAAGAATTCAAGCCTAGAAAATAATAATAGCTAAGCCTAGTGGAGATAAATGGGAACTTATAAGAACTGAATAATTTTCAAATTCTTCTTTGCCATAGATTTTAATGAGAGCAAAACAACAGCAACAACGAAAACAAGCCCAAAGTTTACCTATCCAGTCTTCTCTTGTGCTGCTACTATATAACCACCACCACCACCCAACCTCCAACCCCCAAACTCTCCTAATTGATGACATTCTTGCTCTATGGGTGTAATTGCTATCACAATCATATGTTTTTAAATTGCTTACACATCTAAATTTGGAAAAACAAAAAAAGACTGACCTGTGCTTTGGAAACTATTAATAACATGAGGATGTTAGTTCTTACCTTCCTAAGAACCACTACATTGAGTAGATTATAGAAAAGCAGGCCTAGTCTTCCCTTAATTCTTCCCCCACAACCTACCCTGGTGGCCACACTTTGTGAAGCATTGCATTGAGCCAAACCACAGAAAGTAACCACTTAACTCTTTCCATGGGCTTTTTGGCTTTTCTTTGGACTCCATACACAGCACTGTCTACTGCGGTTAATGCCACCCATGAATCCATCTCAGTGGCCATATTAAGAGACAGGATTTGGCCTGGAGAATATGCATCTGCATCTGGAGACAGATGAACCTTAAATTTCATTTGAAAAAGAAAAGATAAGATGATTTGTATGAGACAAAACTTTTCAGAGGCAGCTACTTTGACAGCTTCTTTCATTGAGAAAAAAATTCAATTGTGGTTTATAAATTTGTGGCTGACCTGGAGCTGGTTGCCGCACTTCTCTTCAATGTTTAACCAGACTGAGTCAGACACTAATTCTGCTGTCTGCTCTCCGGTGACGATGTAATAGACCAGGAGACGAGCTGAAGGAACCATGTTCTGTGTCACTGGAATGTTTATACTTTGATAGGATGAATCTGAAAGTTTCTCCCTCGTGCCAAAGTGTATGATTTTGCCCTTGGATAAAATCTAAAAATAAACAGTAGCAGCAACAATAAGTACAAAAACAAAACCTGTACTTCAGGATGGAGCTTGGAGCTGGAGCGGAAATTATGTTAAAGAAAATAAAGTTAACATGTAGGGGCCTATCATGAGCCAGGCAGAAACTTTAACATTTAACTCTTTTAATTCTCACAATATACCAGTAAAAGAGGAATATTACTCCCATTGAAGAAACTGAAGCTCAGGAACCAACTAAAAATCATACTGATTTTAATTCAAAATCATATAGCTAGCAAATTAGTGAAAGCTTGAACCCAAATCTGTTTAAAGTTATCACACTGTCACCAAAACCTCCTTTGTTTCATTGATTAAAAAAAAGATAAATGGATAAATGGAGTGCATCTTATTTGGGGATTAAGTTTTAAAGCCAGAGATTCTAAATTGGAGGTTTAAGAATTAAAAAAAATCACATAAAGCCAAAATGTCCTCAAATATCCCTTAAATTGTCCTGAGGGAGCAGGACTGCATATACGGTTTTGGTATGCAGTCCATAAACAGTTTCCCTAATTTTTCATCAGTCAATGTTTTTCTACAGTCCACATTAATGTTTTAAATTTTGTCCTCAAAACTGTTGAAAATGCCATCACCACCTATTTGGCCTGGCTGTTGGAATAATTCATTCCATTTCTTGGCGATTGTCAGGAAGCCCTTAAGATTTTTTGTACTTTCTTTCCTAGGTTGCACAAACAGGCTTGGTTGATCCACCTCCGATTTAATATTAATATAAGTGATACATTAGGGATGTTGAATTGGAACAGGCATGATATGACTCAACTCTTAAGAGCAAAATTTGAATCCCCCCTTTTATGTCAATGAAATGCACTTATTTGAACTAGGTCTGGTCATGTCATCTTTGGCCATGAAGTAGAGCAGAGGTAGTATGATTTAATCAGGCTCTCTCTGTGGAGTAATCAGGAGTTATCAGATCAGGAGTCAGAGATCCTCAGTTCAAATCAACATCTTCCTCTTCTGAGCTAAGTGACCATGGGGAGTATTTTAACTTCTCTGTTCCTCAGTTTCCTCATTGGTGACACCTATCTCAAAGGTTTTTGAAAAGCTGATATTCAAATTAGATGATATTCTTGAAAGTGCTTTGTAAATAACAAATGTAACGGATCATTCTAATGCTTCTCTATATGCAAAGGAAAACATTCCAGGTGGAGGAATAAGATGTAAATCTATCATTATTGTACTTACCAAGTAATTATAGTGAGTTATTTTGTCAATATATGGACTTTTGGGGGTAACGATAATATTCAGATGTTCTCCCACAAGCAAAGCTTTATGGTTTTCAGTCCAATCAATATAAAGGTAACTTTGGCTGAGCGATGAGTACGCTATTGCTTGGTAACATTTGCTGGCCTGATTTTCTTCTGGAAGATCTGAGGCATCGGTTTTGACCTGAAAAGGAAAATTTCAAAAAAACACGTGGACTGTGATGCAATGCTTTCTGTAAAACATACTTTTAAATTTTTTTCTTTGCTTTATAAATTTCTAAATTTCCATTACTCCAGTGTTGACACAGCTGTAGTATCAAGTAACTTTGCAAAGACTGTGGACAATAATGACTGGATTATGGGCTATGGTGGAAAAGTCTGGTGAAACGAAGAGAGAAAGATGCTCCAGCAACAAATTTTAGCACCCTTCCTGAAATGTCATGGTAAGTTGGAGACTTCTCTTCATACGAGATGGCATGGCAGGAAATGGTAGGGTGGCGGGGAGGGTAGCACTAACTCTTGAGGACTGTGGTACGGGAGTTAAGAGTGAATATCATAGAGACTATCTGGCCCAGTGTCACTGTGAAGTAGTGGCCCAGAGGAATGCTTTTAAACCAGAGTGGGGCAGAAATGATATCATGGCAGCAATATCCACCTGTAGACAACAGAAGGGTTAACAGCTCATGCTCTGGAGTCAGATATGCACTGGTTTGCATCCCAGCGCCACCACTTATTAACTCTGGATAAGTTATTTCATCAAAATAGAGGTTAGAAGCCTCCCTTTCCTCAGCCACAAAATGGCAAAAATAATATTCTCTAACTCATTGCTGATTAAATGGGTATTAAATGTGTTCTTCATAAAGCTCTTAGCACAATGCCTAGCACTTAGTAAGTGCTCAGTAGACGATAGTGAATATATGCATACTATAGTCACTGACCTGCATTATTAACTTAGTCATATTTTATTTGACATTGGGAACTTAAACATTATTTGCTAGGAGGTAAGACTATTAAGTAAGCTCTAAAGTAGAGTGGTTCCTGCAGTTAGAAAAAAGGAAAGCTTCCACATTGACCCTTTTGTGGCCCTGAAAAGAGATGGAAAGTGGGGGGAAAAAAGAGGATATTCCTACCACTCATGTACATGGTTATACCTATAGAGAGAAAATAATTCTCAAATAAACAATTGATAGATTTATCTTGCATGAGGACCATTCAATGGATTAAGCAGATTGTCTCTGGGTCTCATTTCTTTTGGATGCAAAATTATGGAACTGTTCACTGGGCTTGGGTTTAAAATCTGCTGCATCTGTTCTGCACACTAGCCAAAACACACAGTCAAAAAGTACACATTGTCCTAAAAAATAGAGCAGGAGAATTCAGCTCACGCAAAACTCCAGCGTCATCACTCCAGATGGGAGATTAACCACAAATGAAGCCACTCCATCACTGAGACGCGTTACACTTTTCTTTGGCTCCAAGTCAGATGTCTCTTGGTTTTCATCAACTGTTTCTGCATTCAGGGTTACTGGGATCCCTCCTACCAACTGGTCAAGCGAATCCTTAACCAGCACCTGTTTGTCAAAACAATGCAAATCCATTTCAACAGCTCATCGCTTCTTTCAAAGCATAACAATTCTGAAATAATTTTCCTTCCTCCCCACCTAAGTATAAATTATTTATATATATATATAT